GCCTTGATGGAATGCATAAGTTTGGGGTAAAAAGAATGAACTTGGATGCTCCCTTGTAAAAAAAAGCTGAGCTTGTTTAATCAGATTAAATCACTTGGTAGATACCCCTCCTCAAAGTGTTGTCGGCCTTTGATCTCCAACAACCTGGTGCTCATAGTTTGGGGCCCGCTCCAACAAGCGGGGAATGTCTTGTTTGAGATAGGACTTATACATAGCCATGTTAATAAGGAATGCTATTATGCTTACGATGCCTTTTTCAAGGTCGTCACTAGAATGTAATAGGCCTAAAGGCATGTTAAATCATTCCATTGTATTTTGTGTGAAGGATGGTGTAAGTTGGAGTTAGGCATTGTGATTATTATGTAAATTCCAAACCACCTTCTCACTCCCACTCGGAAATAGGCATTGTGATTATTATGTAATTTCCGAGATAAAGAGCTTATGATCACGACCGACTACATGACTGCTTTAGGTTGATGTCGATGGTTTTATACCGGTAAATGATGCTCTATAACGTTGATCTATGACTTACTTTGTGTTCCGTCAAATCAACGGTAAATCGGGTCTCCCCCGTCATCTTCAGATGTCTTGGCTCCATCTCGAGTTATTTAGGATTAATTGTGCACCTTGTATCGTTTTAAGTTACGTTAGGTGCATATTAACATATAATGGTTTTTATAGACTTATTTATCTCACCGTTTGAACTCACTAGGCGTAAGCCTAACACTTCTTTTTTATATGTCTTGTATATCAGGTTCCTTTAGCGGCGTGGCTCAAAAGGGTTGAGAGGAGCGTTGGTTCGTGAAAGACTCTTTTGTAGTTATAGCCTTTATTACTTTCGAGCGTTGCATTTTTGGTGTTCCGGTATTTTTGGAGATTGATAGAAACACCCGTCTTTAATCTAGATATAGAATAATCTAAATTAGTAGGTTGTTAATTATCTTCTCAGTAGCTGAATTGTAAACGTTATTCTATTCCCCCTTTTGTTGGGTGAATTTTTATATCAAGATTCTGGTTCTCGTTATATATTTCCGGTTTAATTTATAATTATTTTTAGGGTGTTACAAGTCTCGATACATGAAGATCTTCCTTCAATTGGCTAGTAGCTTAAAAAATCTTCAATCTTCAAATCAGCTACTTTGGAGTCTTAGTGTGTAATTTAGACAGTTGATCCACGGTACCATATCAATGACCTTCTGTCTTCGCATCGGCTAGTCTTCGATTTTTCCAAGGGATTTAAGTATGTACCGAGAAACTAATATACAGAGAAACCAATAACTGCTAAGTGTTGATAGGATAATGGGATAAATCAGTGGGTCATCATCAAATCAATAGGTGACTCAACAGCAGATGTTCATGATGAATAATACTCATAAGAAAGGTGGTTATGGGATTCCTAAAGGGTCAAGCTAACTAGCAGGCGAGATAGGCTTTGCTTAGGACAAGATAATCCAAGGCACAAAAAGGTTGAAGTAGATTCACTTTCAAACTTTTTTCAAAAAAGATTCAGCTTCTTTTTTACTCTCTCAATCGACTGTCTATCAGTACTTAAAGGATGTTTCACTATCACCCTCGCAGCCTCGTTCTCAATTGCCCAGAATCCAACGTCGTGGGTTCTCTACGCGCTTGTCATCTATCACGAATCAGGAATCCAATTTTGTTCCCGACTCCCCGTCCTTGTGACGATCATCAATCTAGAATCAAAGAAACTCATTCTCGTTCCTTGCAGCGTGTTGCTGCAATAAGCTGGTTCTTACTTCTCACATCTCATGGTCACGGGCTCACAACTCCCCATATGTTGAAAATTATAGGATTTAGTTTTAGTAATCACTCTTTAGACTTAGTTCATTTAGTTATCTTAATGTTTTCGTTTTTAATGCTTCTGTTGTATATAGATTTCATCCTCTAAGGATTACAATTTACATATTTATACAGGATTTGGAGGTTTAGTTTTAGTAATCTTTCCTTAGGCTTAGATAATGCTTTTGTATTTGTTTTCAATGCATCTATTGTATAATATTCCATCTTCTATATGACAGTTTACATATTTAGCTTGAATTTTAGGGGCTTTAGTTTCAGTAATCTCTCTTTAGACTAGATCTCTTGAGTTATCTTAAAGTTTCTATCTTTTTGAATGCTTTTGTTGTATAAGATTCCATCATCCATAGATTACAATTTACACATTTACTTTGAATTTGGGATTTGGGGACTTTTATATTTTTTCTGTTGATTTGTTTGGGAACTTCTATTCTTAATTAATGCTTTTGTCGACTATGATAGATAAAAATCTTAACAATTTTGAGTATCGAAAGTAAGTTTTCAGCAAATGTCCACTATGATAGATTAATTGAATATTTTGCTTTACGAAATGCACCAAAGACATCGTTTAAGTGATCTTATCTTGGTTTTGTTGTTCGGGGTTTTGGTTTATGTTTCCCCCCATTGTAACTTTATTTTTTTTCAATGAAAATTGGCTTGGGGATGAGTCACCTACCTTGATTAGGTTCTAAATCCCTTAAAAATTTGTGTGTTCCTTGTTTATTGGATTAGAGGCATATTTTTGACTCTCTGTCCTAGCCATCAAAAACCATAGAACCGGCCTTGGTTCCTAAAATATTTAAAGTTTCTAAATGAACCTCCCCCTATATACGTGTGTCTCTGTGTGTGGAAGTTCAAATGAGGATACATTTATTTTACGAAAACGTGAGAACACTTTATAACCTGTAATAATAAACGTTAGGGTCCTAGTGTTATTTGGGCGACCTTACCTACGATCTAGGTCACCTCGATGGATGTCTGCATCTCTGATTAGGTATTACATATCGTAATTGACCATGGTAAAAGGGTTTTATTGTGTTTCTGTAGAATGAATATATATATTTATTTAAACAATTTCATTTATATATTACAATTGTGATCTTCTAAGATTAAAATTGAATATTGGTTGTTCAAATTATACGATTATAAGATTCTTTTTCAGAACATTTAATATAAAATAGAGTAAATTACAGATTTGGTTCCTATGGTTATATCAAAAGTTTGGATTGGGTCTCCCAAACGAATTAATTTCAAGTAACATTACCATGGTTTCAATTTTGTTTAGATTTGAGTCCTTTGCTCTAACTTTGATAACTTCGCTCCGTTGAGTCAGGGACCATTTGGTCATTTTACATTTCCATTTAATTTCGTTTAAATTATATTATATATTACATATTTATACATAAAAAATGCATTAACACACCAATACTCCTCCTAAGTCCCAACGTTGACTTTTCCTCCCCTTTGTAGGTACCTTCACTCCTCAACCTTGTTCCAGGTCCACCTGCAAACTCAAACAAAAATAATAATCCATTCCCCAATTTCTAGGGTTCATATTAAATATAAACAGAAAGGAGTCAGCATGGTGAATAAGTTTGTACCTCCATTGTTGTCGATAATTTTATCATTAGTTGTGACATGGTCATCAACTTAGTCATGGTTTGCTGTCTATTTCTATCATTATTAACATATTTGAGCTTGAGCATGTGTGAATCTCTAATCCATCCATCCATCTATCTTCTTTGGTTCTATATTAGAGTATCTATCTATCTATCTATTTATGGTTTATTGTTTATCAACGGTTGCATCAAGTAAACCCAGGAGATTCTGGTGTTTTTGGTTAATATATCTTGTTGTTGCAAAGCTTCTGGTTCCTTGCATAGGATGCTGAATTTATTTCAAGGGCTGAGTTTAAGTGCCGACTTACAAATCCAATTCATGACAGGGACTGTACGTGTTCATTATGGGAGAGGGGGTTGTGTTCATTGATAGTAGAGTGAGGGACACCGATTATTGATTTATAGAGGGAAGAGGGGGATTGTGTTCATTGATGGCCTTCTGGTTTCAGGGGTTAAGTTCAAGTATCAATTTACAACTCAGTAACACGACAAGGACTGTGTTCATCAAGGGAAGAGGAGGCTTGTGCTATCGATGGCATGGTTGAGTTCAAGTACCGATTTCCATTTTCGTTTTTGATGGTGAAGGGGAGGAAAACGAAGATGGGGAGTGGCCGGAGATGATGGAGTTGTCGAAGATGGGTAGGGGACGGCGACGGTAATCTGTTGAGGAGGTGGGGAAGTTTTATGTTTTAAGGATTTAAATTTTTGTACAAAAAGTATCAAAATGTGTACAACAAACAAGTTGCTAAAGAAAATCATAAAATATATTATTTTTAAAATAAAAATAAAAGGACGAAAATATCCTTAATATAACCCAAGCTAAGTTAACAGAGTTAGGTGTCGTTTACCAAACGCTTATCCGGGTAAGCACTTATCAAATCACTTTACTTTATCGGATGAATATGGTTAGCGCTTGGTAGGATAAATTGTTGCATACGATGCGTTTTAGTGAATAAAATATTGTCCAGTAAGTAAGCAATATTGTTGAATTTTATCGATCAGGTAAGTTAGATCAAGAGACTCAATTCACAACAAAAATAAAACTATGACAATCATACATATAATTATTTGGTTTAAAGGATCCAATATAAATGTTCATATAACCGCAGGGACCAACTTTGTAATTTACTCTATAAAATATTAATAGAATTAAATATTAATATTAAGAAAACAGCAGTTGCACGTATTTGGAGGCAGGAGCGCACCGCCATTCCTAACGTCTCCCAGTCCCATGCTTCTTTTTCCAACGGCCAAATGTGAGATAAAAGAAACCAAACAAAGAGGGTCCACAAAAGAGTTGTTCGCAGTTGTCAAAAGTAGCCGTTGCCCCCCATTTATAATATTCCAACTTTTTCTTTTTCTTTTTCTTTTTTTTTTTTATGGGGTCTAAATAAACATGTCACTAAACACCAAGGGGGTAAATGGAAATTATTCACCCACTGAAAATTCTGCAAACGGTTCGCTTTATATATGTCTGTTTCCAGTTTTAGTAGTTTTCATTTCAACTTCTGTATCTCCTCTCCTCAAAGTAAACCTAAACCATCTCATCTGTGGAAACCCACAATGAATCCAAGTGATTTAATGTTAACTCCCCTTCTATCAAGCACCACCACCAGTAGCAGCGGCGCAAGCAGCGACGCCGACGAAAGTCCGGCGACATCTCACCGTTTCATCCCCTACAAGATCCTCAAAACCCCTTTCTCCGGCTCTTCTTACAGGTCACTCTCCGTCCTCACCGGCCATGATGGATCAGTTTCATGTCTAGCCATTTGTGGAGAATTCATCCTCAGTGCCTCCCATGGCAAAGACATCATCGTATGGCAACAGCCTGATCTCCGGCAGTTCACCAAGTTCGGACAAGGCGACGGATCCGTCAAGGCCGTGGTGACGGCCGGAAACAAAGTCTTTTCAGCCCATCAAGATTCCAGGATCAGGGTTTGGAAAGTTTCAAGAAGTTCTGAAAACATTTTCAAACTTGTTGATACTCTCCCAACCACGAAGGATTACTTGGGGAAATTCATGAAACAAAGCAATTACGTCCAAACGAGACGACACCACAAGCGATTATGGATCGAACATGCCGATAGCATATCGTGTTTAACGGTCTACGATGGGTTGATTTACTCAGGTTCTTGGGACAAGACTTTGAAGGTCTGGAGGATCTCCGACTTAAAGTGTTTAGAATCGATAAAAGCACATGATGACGCTATAAACTCCTTAATCGCCAGCAAAGGGATCGTGTACTCAGCTTCTGCGGATGGAAAGATCAAAGCTTGGGGGAGAACAGATGATCCCAAAAGCTCACATTCATTAAAGGGTATCTTGGAGGGTCATAAAGACATATCAATAAACTCAGTGGTGGTTTCCGACGATGGCACGGTGGTTTACGGCGGAGGATCAGATGGGTACATAATGGGGTGGTTAGGGAGCAAAGATATCGATAGTTGGAAGAATGTTTGCGAAGTGAAAGCACATAAAATGGCCATTTTGTGTATGTGCATAAAAGGTGAGATCTTGTGTAGTGGTTCAACCGATACGAGTATATGCATATGGAAGAGGGAAGTGAAAGGGTTGACCAAGATTGGTGTGGTCAAAGGGCATGGAGGTCCAATCAAGTGTTTACAGGCATCACCAAACAGTTTTGGAGGGGGGTTCTTGCTCTACAGTGGAAGTCTGGATAAAAGTATTAGGGTTTGGTGGGTTCCACAGTATGATGAAGGTGTTAACAACGAAGATTCCAATTGTTCAGATCCAAGTACAGGAATGATGAAATCTGTTCAATGATGCTGTGGCAGTCGCAGGTTTCTTGAAGCACTGATCCCTTTTTTGAGTGTTTACAGTGCCAAGTTTTTGGATAGTGTTTTTTGTTCATCTCTTTTGTTTGTTGTTGTTCACATACATAATTGGTCTTTTGCAATGTTTTTTTCCTTCTTGGTCAGAAAATCCAAGTGTTGTTAATGGGGTTTGGTGGTGTGGTATAGAGATTATAGTAAATGTGATTCTTTGAAGTTCCAATTTTCTTGTAACATGTAATAGGGATCATTAAATTAATTTGATAAATATTTTTTCATAATTTATATATCTTGTATTTTGTTTGAGATAGGTTACAACAAAATTAATGATTTAGGATGTTCAACTCTTTTTTATACAGGGGTGTTTGTGATTGCTTATTTGAAACAACTTATATATATATATATATATTTTTATAAAAGTGTTTATTAACTTATTATAAGTTAGAATGTTTTAATTTCTTCAAAAACTTCTTATTACCGGTTTGACACTGATATAAATTGTTTATCCAAACACTCAAAAATGTTTATTACCGGTATAACACCGAAATAAGTCAATAAGTTGCTTTTATAAGCAATCTCAAACACCCCCTTAATATATAACTTTTTCCAAAAGAAAATAGAGTGTTTAACAGGGTCTTAATTTTAAAAGACCCACAATCGTATGCTATATATTATAACAACACGGTTAGAATAAGTTGTTAAGATAAGGTTAGACGATGTAAAATATCAATCTTAATAGGACAGAAAAGTATAAATCTTTTTATTTGACATTTTTGTGAAGTGTTGTATATAAATAAGTTTAATAAAAGGGAAACGTCTAAAAAACTCAACTATCATAATTTGAGTGATTAAGTCTCTAAATTATTATTTTTAACAAGTAAATCTTTTAACTTTCTAAAATCGGACAAATAAATCATTGAACTTACCACAATCAAGAAAAATCCAACGAACTTTTCATTTTTTTGAGCGATTAGGTCCTAAACATTTTTTGGAACGAATAAATCCGTACACATATAAAGCGAAAGCAATATATTAATTCTCAATCAATGTATCTAGATCAGTAACAAAATACAATAATTTAATAAAAATGATCAAATACCATTTCCATTATTCATTATTTATTTCTCAGATTCACATAGGAATCATAAATAAAAGGATCTAATAATTATTTATTTTTCAGATTAAAATAACAAGAACATGATCATAAAAAACACCTACAATTTAAATCTGAAAAATAGATAAAGGTTAATAAAAACGTTGTTTATCGGTTTGTTGTACTTTCCTATTTATTTGTTGATACATTTACCATTTTTTCGTGTTATAAGTGTAAGAACTAATAAAATGTTCAGGGAACTAATCGCTTAAAATATAAAAGTTTGGGTTTTTCTTAGTTTTAGTAAGTTTAAGATTTATTTGTTCAATTTTAGAAAGTTCAAGAATTTATTTGGTCAAAAAAATAGTTTAGAAACTTGGTCATTCAAAATGTGATAATTCGTTGGGTTTTTTTTTTACTTTTCCATCTATAAAAAGGCAAAATATGACAATTACTTTATGACATTACAACAAAATTGAATTTATAGGACACCCTCAATCTTTAAGTGTCCCAATATACTGTTTTATATGACTTAATTTATAGAATCAAAATATAAAACGTCCTATCTAAAGGCGTTGTAATAAGTTTATATGACGCTTTTGGGCATCTTAACAAATTTTTAAGGACATTTTTAATACAAAGTGTTGCATTAGCAAGTTTATAGGACACTTTTGAGAAATTGTCTTATAAACTCAATTTTTTATAAACACTTGTTTTTATAGGACATTTTTTCCAATAGTGTCCTATAAAGTTGATAATGAAACATTTTATATTAAAAGTATCCTAAAAAACTTATTACGACATCAAAAAACGTCATATAAACTTTATATAATACCATTAGATATGACACTTTATTTTTTGGTCCTATAAACTAAGTCCTATAAAGAGGTCTATTAGGACGCTTAGAATTTGGGAGTGTCCTATAAACCCGATTTTGTTGTAGTGTGAGTCTTGTTAGGTTGCTCAACTTCATTGATGAAACATATCTTTGGTTGCCTAAATTCATCATAACAATTTATTATAATATCATCATATAGGACGCATAGTTGTGGATCTTATAAACTTAAAGTCACCATAAGTATAGTAATTTATTATTTGGACGTCTAAAAGGACGGTTGAACGTCCTAAATTAAAGACCCATTTTTATCATAATGGTAATTGGAAGAAGGTTAATAGCCGACTAATGTCGTATATATTGAGTATGGTTTTTAGAATTAGATGGGCGTTGACTGGTAGTCTTGTTGGTCAAATAGGTCACAGATCAAGATTAAATGATTCAACTGTCAAAACCTCATATATATATATATATATATATATATATATAGGGGGAAGATCAAATGTTAACCAACAACTTTGTGTTAACTTTGAAAACTATGGCAACCAATCAAATTTCATTCTTCTTGTAGGTTTATGTCATGTTCACATTTTAATTACAAGGGTATTTCAGTAAATTTATTTGATATGTAACTCCCAAACAATTAATAGGGAGTTACAAATCATCAAATCCCAAAAAATATGCATTTATAATATTAATATTTTTATTTTTTTAATCTTGATCTTCCATGTTTATTGTTCTATCAGTTTTTAATTCGCATAGAAAACACGGCAGTAAAAATTTTCGGTATCGATCAAGCTAATATGGATAAACGCAATGGAAAATAAGTCGACAACAGTTATAAGATTAAAATGGTTTTTAATGACAATCGGAGTTCGAGGTCAAGAATTGAAGAAATTAACAAAAGCGAATGTCTTGGTAATAGATTTTTATTTTTTTTAGATTCGTTTTAATCGAAATTATGTTCATTACGATGTGTTGTGTTTTTTATAACTCATCTTGTATTGATAGCTTTTTTCTTTAATTATTAAAATACGTACCTAATTCACATGTTCAAATGGAAGTACATGCACGACCCATTTTCATATTGCCATATTACCAACTTTTATGAATCATGAACCATTGTGTTCATGTTACTTCTATCATATGAACATAAATGTTATTTTTAAGCTTGATACCAAATCTTTATATTTGTGTAAGTGTTTGCACCCGGTGTTCATAGTGTTAGGGTTATGTGTTCATATATTTTATACGATATAAACAAGAGGTGAACACGATATGAACAAGGGGTGAACAACCATATAAGATTAGAAACATATATGAACAAGGGGTGAACCTCAAACGGTGTGGATGCAATGCATGTATAAAACTCCAATTGACAAAGTATCGCTCTTGAATGTGTTTATAATGAAGGAACTATTGTTCACAAGCTGTTCATATCGTGTTCATACCTGTTTTTTTTATTTTCTTTTGTATAACAGTTATTCTTATTATGTTCATATTGTGTTCATAAATGCTATGCAGTCCAAGTTCATATATATGTCAAATTTTTGTTTCGCATTTGACACAATGATTCATATATATATATATATAGTTGTGTTCATATCGTTCTTACATTAACAAAAAAATCATAGAATTTTTGATTTTGTAACTCCCAATTAATTAATGATATGGGAGTTACATACATTTTTTTTACCTAAATACCCTTTTCAACATTGTTNGTGAACCTAAAGAAAAGATGGAATATGATTGGTTGAGCTTGGTTAACAAAGTTAACACAAAAATCTTGGTTAGTGTTTGAACCAACCCCTATATATATAGGGGACAAGATCAAATGTTAACCAAAGTTTTTGTGTTAACTTTGCAAACCATGTCAACCAATCACAATCCATTCTTCTATTAGGTTTCTATCATGTTCACAATTTAATGTCAAGGGTAATTGAGTAATTTCATTTGTTATGTAACTCTCATACCATTAAAGGGGAGTTACAAAATCATTAAATCCCTAAAAATATGCATTTATAATATTGATAATTTTATTTAATTTTTAATCTTGATCTTTCATTTTTATTGTTTTATGAGTTTTTTATTCGTGGAGGAAACACGGTAGTAAAATCTTCGCGTTCAAGCTATTATGGATAAACGCATTGGAAAAAAAATTGAAAACATTGAACAAGGGGAGAACACGATATGAACTAGGGGTGAACAACCACATAAGACCAGAAACATATACTAACAGGGGTGAAACTTAAACGGTGTGGATGCGATGCATGTATAAAACTCCAATTGACAAAGGATCGCTCCTGAATGTGTTTATAATGAAGGAACTATTGTTCACAAGCTGTTCATATTGTATTCATACTTTTTATTTATTTATTTCCTTTCATATAGCAGTTATTCTTATTATGTTCATATTGTGTTCATAAATGTTATGTAGTCCAAGTTCATATACATGTCAATTTTTTGTTCGTATTTAACACAATGGTTCATATATATAGTTGTATTCATAGGTTCTTACACTAACAAAAATAAATTAACAAAAATCATAGAATTTTTTGATTTTGTAACTCCCAATTAATGATATGGTAGTTACATAATTTTTTTTACCTAAATACCCTTTTCAACTTTATTCACTTATCTTTATGAAATTTTAAATTTAAAAAAATAAGTTTTTATCATAATTAATCGCAACCGTTTATTGAAAGATTGAATGCCCAAGATCGGTTAACAAAGTTAACACAAAAACTTTGTTAACATTTGAACTCTCTCTCTCTCTCTCTCTCTATATATATATATATATATATATATATATATATATATATATATATATATATATACTCTCCAACGACAATAGGACGAGAAACGTTGAGCGATTATAACGTGGAACAATGAATTGGTCCATTAATTTAGAAAGTAAAAGGGAACGTAAATAAAAAGCATATAAAATATGCATCAAATTCAAATGAATACAACTTTCAAACTAAGTGGAAAGAAGTTTCATGCGACTAATCAACAAAAAGTTCTCAAAATTATGTACATGTATAGCGTAGCAGTTAAGTTGTTTTAACTTATCGTTCAGTTCAAACTTACATTATTTAAAACTCTACTTATAAGTTACAAAATTTTAACCTATAATTTAATTTTTCAAGATTTTTGAAGGGGTTTGTTTACCTCTTAATAGTTCCATTAAGAGACAGCTTCTGAATCGTTAAGAGATTAATCTTGTTTGGCAAAAAAAAATCAGCATGGTTGTAAAATCATTTGAATGATTTTGCATCATGGGTCTTCCTTAACCATTCAGTACCCTAATTTCATTGTAAACAATTATATTTCATTTTGCTTAATATCAT